TCAGGATGAGGGTTCGCTTGGGGACCAACAATGGTCTTCGAGTGTCGGCCACGTCCAGGGTGTAGACTCGAATCGTGACGGGGGGTTCCCGGGGGGAGGGGTATATTTTTTTTGTTTGAACAACCAGAATTTTTTTTGTTTTTGGAAACAAAAAAAAAATTAGGGGTAGGTTGGTGGAAGGTGTGGGGTTGGGGGGTAAATTTTTTTTTTTCGAAAAAATAGTTTTTTTTTTTTGGAAAACAAAAAAATTTAGGGGTCGGTTGGTGGAAGGTGGTGGCGTGGGCGGTGCCCGGGGGAGGGGGTAATTTTTTATTTTTTTTGAAAAAACAGATTAATTTTTTTTTGGCAAACAAAAAAAAATTAGGGGTAGATTGGTGGAAGGTGGGGGAGTGGGGCTCCCCGAGGGGTGGGGGTGCCCGGCGGATGGGGTAATTTTTTGAAAAACAGATTTTCTTAAATGGGTTAGAACCATTTTATCCAAACCATATTTGATCAAATCCATATTTATCCATATTCTATTTGGGTGCATTGTAACCCAAACCTTTTTTACTCAATCCAAATTCAATCCATCCGAATCCGATCCAATCCAACCATTTGCCACCCCTACTTCTAACAAACTATGCCAGCTCATCATCAAGTAACTAACTAATGGAATGAATCGTTACTAACTAATGGACCAAATTCATTACGTAGCGTGAGCGTGACTAATTAATGGATCAGATTCATCATGTGATGCATCTGGACACCTATCATATATTTTCAAAACAAAAATATTCTATTTATCTCAAGATAGTCCCAACAAAACACAATTTCAGTTTTTTCTATGGGATCAAAAATTCAAATCAATTACTGGAATTTGAACTTCTTAGGCTTAATTTCTAAATTCCTTAAGACAGAGATTACTTTATCAAAATTGGAAGCTAGAAGGATTTATTATTTTACATTCAGTGTCTCTACATAAAACTTCGGAGTTTTAATTCAGGACTAAAATTCTTTTTGAGAATTGATTAATCTTGCGATTAATTAATTATGGAGTGGCACAAGAAACAATTCGATGTTATTTTCATCAGAGAAATCAAATTTATATTGACTAATTAATTGTGCACATAAAAACAAAAACTAAAGATTGATATGAAAGAGTAGCACGTCTTGTTCGATAAAACCCAAAATAACACTGGTAGGAAATAGGAATTAAATATAATTGAAGAAAACCTTAGAAGATATCAGATATTTGCTACGTGGAGCTTTAGAAGTAACATTAGTGTAAAGTATAAAAATAGTGTATATCCTATCAATACTTCTAATTTGAATGGGACATAGTACGTAGCTGTGGTCAGTACTCGTCTAATAAATGTAAAACACTCAATACCACCACAATCTCGTATTGAAGATAAAATGCTCCCTAACAAAGATAATTCTTTATTCATGATAACTCGATTCGATAATTCTTTGCCCAGGACAACTCAATCCTGAGACATATGATTAAGAATAAAGAAATATTTATCACTCCACCACAATTCTTATTTGGTTGTATTATGAAGCTACCTTTACTTGTTATAGCCTGTATCTAATTTTGTTTTAAAGTTTACAATCTCATATTTAAAAATGATAATTTTAATAATATAAAAATTAATTACACAATGTCTATACGTTACATTCCGATCCATGTGCGGTAGAAAACTACCAATACCACTCACCAATTTTCTTGTCGCACGTTGATTAATGTCCGGTAGAAGATAAGGATGGTGTATAGTCAATTTCACTTTCTATCATACAATTCTGACATGTATGTATATCGGGGCGGAGTTAAAAGTCTGGATTCAGATTTTATCGAACTGAATAATTTTTGTTTAAATATTTGTATTAAGAAATTTAGTAAATATATAACATATTAAGTTTTGAAACCTCATATTAACACTTTAAATTATCTTATAAAATTTAAAATCCATAAAATTAAAATGATAATTTTGCCTCTTTAGGTATATTTCAGGACAAGAAGGTTAAAAGTTTTAGAGTAAATGAAGAAAACCATTAAAATTGTGATACATAAGAGTCGTAAATAAACGATACTTATTTATTTTCGTGTAACATCCCTGATCCCAGACCAGCTATATTTTCTTATCTCATGAATTGTGTGACACGTATATATTATATTATATTATAAGAAAGAAAAGATGATTATGTTTCTGTCGTAATAAAGAATTATAAAAGATTTAGATGGTATAGATAGATATGCTAAGCTGTAAGGCGCGGCGAACAGCAAGTGCATATGGGCTTCAACATCTGCCAGCTATCAACATATATAGCGTGACATTGAAATACATGTTTTAGAACGTAACTGAACACATGTTTCAGTTAATGCATCAATTTTTTCCAAACTATTCATATAGAAAATGCGGGGATGGGATAAGCTCTTCATAATGAGGTTCAAAGCTAAGAATGGAAACCATAGTGATCCACAACCAAAAGAATATCCGAATTTTTCCACACCAACGGACCCATAGATTTTGGTTTCAGACTCTGAATATGAAACCTTCTGTAGCGTGAATCAAAATATTTGAGCTCCAATACAGATATTGGATAACGAGTAGGAAGTTAAAAAAAATAACCTAGCCATCACCTAAAGATTTATGTTTCGCCATAAATTTTGATATTAAAAAGATTGAGCTTTTAAAATTGTATGTTTTTAAATTTTGAAGTTGTTTACACCAAAAATGATCTGTGATATTTGAAGAAAGTTTTTAAAATCTAATCTAAAATTTAAGGCTAAGCATACGGAAGTTTTCAATATTTGAAATTTCACGTTTTGCCAGCATTATTCCACGTAGATGAAATGTAGGGTGAAAGTGATTGGCTAGTACCTTCTCGGTTATTACCTTCCCTTTGGGATTGTTTGCTCTTTTTTTGAGTTAATATTTCAGGTCACTCAACTTTCAATAGTTCACTTAAAAAGTTTCTCAACATTGAATTGTTTACTTCGAAAGTCACTCAACTTTGTTTTATATTTCAAAAGTCAATCAGTTATTAATAATTCACTTAAAAAGTCACGTAACTATTGATATTTTACTTAAAAAGTTACTCAACTAATTTAAATTAATTTTTTCATTAAATTTTGTAAAATACAAAAAAAATTAACTATTTTTAAAAAAAAATAATAAGATGCTTATTTTAATTATTTTATTGAATTTCTTTGAAGTATAATTTTTCTTTTTTAAAAAAATGGTACTGTGTTGCGTCTTTTTTTTTTATTACTGCTTATCAATTCCAACTTCTTCTTTTTTGGATCATTTTTTAACATATTTAATTTCAGTTATATAATTGATAAAACGGAAAAAGTTCTTTTTGGGTCAATTGCTACGGTACGTTTTCCAAAAAAAATAATTAAATAATTTGGATTAACAAAATAATTAAAATAAATATCTTATTATTTCTTTAAAAGAGTAGTTTAACATAAAGATTAAATTTCAATAAAATTTTATGAAAAAAAATATTTAAATTGATTGAGTGACTTTCTAAATGAAATATCAATAGTTGAGTGATTTTCTAAGTGAAACATCAATAGTTGCGTGACTTTTGAGTTATAAAACAAAGTTGAGTGACTTTCTAAGTGAAACATCAATAGTTGCGTGACTTTTGAGTTATAAAACAAAGTTGAGTGACTTTCTAAGAGAACAATTCAAAGTTGAGTGACTTTTTAAGTGAACAATTTAAAGTTGAGTGACTATTTGAGATATTAACTCCTCTGCCCAACTCCACCTGCAAGTTACTTCAAATCAATTTTTATTTCGTGGGAACTCATAAAAATAATGAGCCTAATTTTACTTAAAAAAATTAATTCAAAAGATTAAAATTATATAAGAAGATAAATTATCATTCCAACAGAAACGGAGTTATGATATTGAATTTACAATTTAAATTAAAATTACTAAATTTCATCGAATCAGTACTTACGTTTGCGTCCCAACCATGTTGGACTACTAAACAATTTGTGTTATTTTTGGTCCTCAAAGTTGACTGGAGTAAAACAAACGAAATGGCACTTGATGTTGTTTGTTATTTTATATTATATTTTTATAGATTAGAATAATGTAAAATGACTCGAGGGTGAGTCAGTACAAATAATTGAAGATGCAAATAGCCAAAAATTTCATAATTATTGTGTATCCAGTACATTCGGCGATGACAAAAAAACCTTTGGCGCAACGCCGCGTATATGCGGCGATCAAATCAATTACTATTTGGTTTGTTAGATGGACCTACCTACATCATCCGATAAACATTATTTTCATATCAGCACCACAATTAGTATTCATGTTTTTCTCGTGTCCACTCGAAAAATAGTAATTGTATATTCTCTGCTAATTCTCCAAAAATATATAATTATCTTTTATGCATTAGTAAATATGAATGAGTTTTAAAAGTGTATCAAATAGAGTATTGAGTTAATATGTAATTTTTGTTAGGAGTGTAAAATAACCCGCAATCGCTATAATTTCACCCTGTTTTATTATTGACCAACATCTCGATATATCAAAATAACATGGGTCCACATGTTTGCAACCTTTCTGTTCAGTCTCTTTGGTGGGCCACCAACCTACGAGATTAGGATAGGATATCCGAATATAAAGGAATTAAAATATTTAGGTAAATAATTTTACCAGAATATTCGAGTATATCCATAACAAATATAGGCAATGAAAATTATAGAAAAAAACAAAAATAGGAAATGAAAAATAGAAAAAGATGAAAATTTGAGAAATAATTGACCTTAGACTGACGTGTATCCATGCTGTCTTGGTGTACCCTTTTAGACTTGGGATTTACTTTAACGAATCATCATATGCCACGCTGGACGTATGGGCTCCACGCGTCATGTGCATGTACATACCACGTCAACAAGCGGGCCCTACGTTTTTGGGCATGGTAAGTGGTATATAATGCTGGTTCTTAAGATTGGTCAAAAACACACAAATATTTTACAAGTTTTTATTTTTCTAAGTTCTATATATCTACCTCTCATTACAATATTTTATATTGCAATAATGGTCGGAGTTATGGCTCGGAAACCACTAAATCACCGGATTTTGACGTGGGACCACCGGGATATTGAGATTTCCGGCGAGCCTGCGATTAATAATTCCGATACGGTTTTCAGCTTTTTGGATGAAGAGGTTCAAAGTTCGTCACCGGAAAGTATTAGCGATGATGTTTATGTTAATAACCGAGACGATGAGGACGATGACAACGAAAACAAAGAAAATGTTGAAGATAATCAATTTTGGGAAAATCAACATCAACTTTTACAAGTAAGTTTCAACTCCGGTTTTTTAGCGCTTTGACAAATTTTTCATAGGGCAACGTATATTTATTTTTATTTTTCTGAATTTCGTTCTTTAATTAACTTAAATTCTTTTTTTTTGTTTGTTTTCAGTCTGTATTATGCCGAACAACGTCGTTGGAATCACAAATCCGAAGCATTACTAAAGAAACAAAGCAATCGGAATATGGTTGCTCTTGCCGGAAAATGGTCGGAGACGGCTGCCGGAACTGTCTGATGAAAGAGGTGTCCAGTCGTTTACAAAATGCTGGATTTAACTCAGCAATTTGTAAGTCTAAGTGGAAGAGCTCACCAGATATTCCCTCAGGTAATTATATACATTTAATAAATTTGTGTCACATAAATTAAGACGACAGAGAAGTACCATTTATTAGAAAATCCTGAATTAACATTAGTTCTTTACAATGTAACAGGTGAACATACATTCATAGACGTGGTGGACAATTCGAGCCTTAAAAAAGGAGAAGTGAGAATAATTATCGAACTAAATTTTCGATGTGAATTTGAATTAGCGAAAGCAAGCGAAGGATACAATCGACTGGTGAAATGCCTGCCAGAAGTGTTTGTAGGAAAAATAGAGAGATTATTGTCAGTAATAAAGATTTTGTGCAATGGTGCAAAGAAATGCATGAAGGTGAAGAAAATACATGTTGCACCATGGCGGAAACAAAAGTACATGCAAGCTAAGTGGCTTAAAACAGTTGAACGGACAGCAGCAAATGTTAAATTGCTGGTATCAAACGCTGAATATACAAGTGATCCACTGCCACGGCGGCCAAGAGCGTCGATGCTTACAATGGATTTGTTGGAATTTGTACCAAATTTGCATTGCACTGCAGTTAAAGTTGCCTGAAGGGATATGATATGTATGTAGTTTATTTTCTTTTGGTTTGTGGGGGTGGGGGTGGGGGGAGGGGTTTGGTTCTTTTTTTCTTAGGATTTAATTAGAGATAATTGTAATATTCTTATTAGTAAAAAGTGAGCAAGTTCATCATAGTGTCCAATTTCAATTGAGTTGTTACGTAAATTAACGGATTGACACAAAAATATGTTACATTCTGGTAACTCAATTTTCTTCTTGATTGACATATTTTTACATTTTTTAAGCATTCTCATTTTTAATATCATCATAAAGTGTTACAAACTCTGTGGTGATAAGGAAATACGTAGTTCTCTCTAGCCCTTATTTTTTTCATGCTTTGATAGATAGCAAAAATTAGGTACTTCATTAGGATCAGTAAGGTAAGCTCTAGCCCTCTTGCTTGTTGTCCCTATTGATATTTTTTAAAAAGAGGAATTGCTTGCATGGTCGCCATCAATATATTTAGTGTACTAAAATTTTTATTCAGATAAAAAAAAAGGATATTTTCTACATATTATTGGCTCAAGGAAAACTATATAAAAAATAAATCAAAAAAAAGTATTTCATAAACATGAATATACTTCTGCACAATATGTTTTCCAATTTTTTTCAGGTTGATAAAAAAATTGAAAAATACATTTTTAGAAAAATAACTTCCTTAAAATGAGGAAAATATTATTTTTTTTTCAAGAGAATAGTAGTACTGCTGTTAGCTTACAAAAAAATCGAATATCTAATCTAATGAAGACTGATTAGTAACTCATTTTTTAAATTTCATCTTTCCACTTATTTCATGAATAATTGAATTAATTAATCATAGGTTATTTTAGTACTTTACTAATAACTAACAACGCATCAGCACAATTAAATAACTTGACCTTATATGTCATATTGTTTGAACTGGTTGTGATCTTCTTTCACTAAAGAAGTTTTTGGAAGGGGATAGGAAGATTCCCTTTGCTTAGCTGACTAATTAAGAAAAGCGACTAATTAACCAAAAAAGATTTGATTAATTGAATAAGTCGGCTGTGTTTTGATATAATCAATAGGTAATAGAGTTAGTTTAACTAGAACACTCCATTAGGAACAAAGACCTGATTTGCTAGTCTACACTTCAGTCTCAAAATGTTTTTTTTTTTTGTTAAAAAAAAGTATTACAAAAATTAAAATTATATTATCTCTAATAACTTAAATTTTCAGATTAAATAATCATAAATTTTAATGTGATATTAATGTTTGGAATCAAATCTCACGATCACCTATATTACAAATAATTTCAATATATTTAAGCCCAGTAAATTATCACAAGTTGGTATCCCATCTAAATCTTCCACCTGCCAATTTTTGTCGTCTCATTTTACGATCCAATCTCTAGTCAATGGGTTATTTGCCATCCTAAGATTTGTTTAGGATACCAACTTGAAAAATTGTTTAATCATGTATTAAAGGGGAGTAATATGTTGATTATTAATTAATAAAAAAATAATTGGGCCAGCTAAAACAAGCTGGAAATGGTGGCGACCCGTAACCTACAATTAGGGTGATTACTGGTTTTTCATTTTATTTTTTTGGCCAGAATATTGCAAATTATTCTGGAGTTTACTATCCTTGACTTTTCAATTTTGCCCGAATTTATGCAAATTAGAATGAACGAGATGCTACAATAATAAGTTTAGAAAGTTAAGAAAATTAGCTAAAGTTAGAATAATTACAAAGTTAAAAATTCATGAAACATCTATCTACTTTGTGGAGTTAATAATATAATTAAAGGTAGCTGAACTACAAAAAAAAATAAAATTAGATTTTATAATTTTATTTATTTGTGGATTCATAATTAGATGGCATAATATATAATTTAATTTATCATGTCAAATTTATTTTAATGATAAATGTAGTTAAATGATTTTTGAAAATAAAAGTACATCTTATAATGAATGAATTTATTGATATAAAATAAAGTTTAATGACTTTGCCAGAGAATTTTTCCACCCATTTTATGGCACAAAAAAGATGTACTAATCCTTATGAAAAAAAGTAACAAATCGTCGTGAATTACAAGATAATTTTTTATCTACTTTAAAATTACAGATAATTAAGTTAGAGCTTAGAATAAACTTACAATTAGAATTTGTACTCAAACAAGCAAATTAAAATAATCATCATTACAAATAAGTCAAACATACTTAATAACAAAACCAGACATGCTCTATTCTAGAACTAATAGCACAATTTCAAGTTAAAATAAAATAAATTAATGAAAAAACATAAGATAGGTAAAATATTCATAAAAATATATTATATATACTTTATCGTTCAATTTGATTTGATCTTTTCTTTGGTATTTTTTATAATTAAAAATCAAAACTAAATTAAATATCATCAACTATTCAAAATTTATAACCAAATCAAACAAAATAAAAAAAAGAAACTAATTTATTTAATTTGATTTTGATCGATTACTTAATAGCAGATAAAAATATATAGAGAGTGATCATATATAGTCAACTTATTTGTCTGTATCAATTATTTAGAGTAAAACAGGTCCAATTAGTGTGCAGATTAAAAAATCCCACAATAATCTTCTGGATTTCTCTAATATCCATCCTCCACATTCTAGATAATAATAATTAACAAAAACATAGGCAGGACGCTGCGTATTTCCTACATCAATCATCAAATAACATCCTAATAATTATCATCAACAATCTTAATGAAATAATACTATGCTTTAACAGGCTAAAAGGTTCAATTAATTACTATTAGTATGTTAGTGGTGGTACCCTCCATGTCCTAAAACATTATCTGTATTTAGTTGAAGAGGCAAGATGGACCCATCCACAACATCGGATAAACATCCACTTAATTCCCAACTGTTCATCACATCGGAAAAATTAGAGGCAACAAAATGAACGGATTGAGTTGAATTTAGACGGTTTAAATTGATCCATGGAATATATTGTTAAAGAATGACAAAAGTTCCATATCGGTGGTTAATGAGATGGGTGGACTCCTTATAAGGCTTGGACAATCCTCCTCCCTTTAAGCTAACTTTTGGGGTGTGAGTTAGGCCTAAGACCTAATTTAACATGGTATCAGAGCAGGGCTTGTCTCACCCAATGTTGGGGCCCCAAAATCAAAATTGCCCACGCACCAGATGCTAAGCACTGGGCGTGAGATAGGGTGTTAAAGAATGACAAAAGTCCCACATCGGTGGTTAATGAGATGAGTGGACTCCTTATAAGGCTTGGGCAATCCTCCTCCTTTTGAGCTAGCTTTTGGGGTGTGAGTTAGGTCTAAGAACTAATTTAACATATATATGGGCTCCACTACTCACGTTCATGAACCTTCCTCTGGCCACGTCAGACTTGTGGGTCCTACTCTAGTGGCATGATCGCGATATACTAATACTAATTACGCTATAAATCCAGAAACACAAATATTATAAGAGAGCTTTTTTTTTTATTCCATTTTAAGAATTTAGAGGGAATAATGGTCGGAGTAACAGCTAAGAGACCTCTAAGTCACCGGATTTTGACGTGTCATAACCGGGAAAGTGAATTTTCCGGTGACCATGCTATTAATATTTCTGACACTATTTTTAGTTTTCTTGACGAGGAGGGTTCGTCAGTAGAAAGTGTTATTGATGATGTTTATGTTGAAGATGAAGAGAAAGAAAATTTTGAAGATAATAAATTCTGGGAAACTCAACATCAGCTTTTACAAGTAAGTACTCTTTTAAGGTCAAAATTATAATTTTCAACTTCCGTTATATAATCTTGACAATATTCACTTCATAAACTAAATTTTAAGATTCGTATTAGAGCGCTAATCTTATCACATCTCAATTCTTATTAATTAACTTGATATTACACTCATCATATTATATTGTCCACGCTTCACATGGTCTTGACCATAATTTATTTCTTATATGTTTTTAAGGAAAGATTTTCCAAATATCGATATGGTGAGAATTCTAGAAAAGTTAATTAAAAAGATTTCTAATTTCATAATTTTTTTAAAAAAATAATCAAGAATAAGGAACTTGTTAGAAATTTAAAAACCTATATTTTCTTAATTAGGATAGTTGAATTTTATAGACTTCAATAAATCGAAAAGGGATAAATGTGTATATAATTAAGCTATAGTCTTAATTAAAAGGGTCTAATTTTTTATTTCCCAATTTAGCTCTCATAGCCTTAATTTTCTTCTTTATTCATTACTAATTACTCATATTTTAATTAATTACAGTCAGTATTATGCCGGACGACAACATTAGAATCACAGATCCGAAGTATTACTAAACAAACCTTAAAAGAAGCATCAAAAAATTGCAGCTGTGAAATGGTCAACAATATTATTACTACTAGTTGTCCAAATTGTCTCATGAAGGAGGTGTGCACTAGCCTACAAAATGCTGGTTTCAACTCAGCAATTTGCAAGTCAAAGTGGAGGAGCTCACCAGATATTCCCTCAGGTAATTACTTTACAATATTATAATTAGTCACATACAAGTTTTGTAAAGAAAAAGTAAGTAATTAAAAGGACATGAATATCTCTATTTATTTTTAAAAAAAATATACATCATGACAACTTTAGTTTAGGCCTAACTTAATATAATTATATATGACAAGTGAAGACCTTTTTTTAAAATATATATAGATATAATAAAATATACATCTACCACGTTATCCTTATCAAACCAAATTAAACAATTTTTACCTACCATTAGTGACTAATTTTCATTTGAATTTTGTATTTTTATACTGAAGTATATATATCTTTTTTTTTTTAAAAAAAATGTAACATTAATGTTGTTATACCAATGTAACAGGTGAACATTCATTTATAGACGTGGTAGACAATTCGAGCCCTAAAAAAGGAGAAGTGAGGATAATTATCGAATTAAATTTTCGAGGGGAGTTTGAATTAGTGAAAGCAAGCGAAGAATACAATCGACTGGTGAAATGCCTGCCAGAAGTGTTTGTTGGGAAAATAGAGAGATTATTATCAGTAATAAAGATTTTATGCAATGCTGCTAAAAAGTGTATGAAGGAGAAGAAAATGCATATTGCGCCATGGAGGAAACAAAAATACATGGAAGCTAAGTGGCTTAAAATATCTGAACGTATGAGTAGTACTTCTAAATCTCCATTGTCAGCTGAAGAATATTGTTATTCGAATCGATTGTCGCGGCCCAAGGCATCGATGCTTACTGTTGATTTACTGGAAAATTTTCCCAGTTTATGTCGTACTGCAGTTGAAGTGGTGTAAACTATGAACGAAGAACCACAAGGGTTTGTGGTGGAGTGGTAAGTACTCCTTCATCCTTAATCAAGAGGTCTCGGGTTCGAGCCCCCTTGGTACGGAGTCACCTTTGTTAGGGAGCGCTTTATCACAATGTGGGACTTTCCGGCGCGAATTTGAATTTAATCGGGCTTCAATGTGAGTATCGAACACCGGGTGAAGAATAAAAAAAACTATGAACAAAGAGATCACAGGCTCGACTGATGAGTGTTCCATTTTTGTAGTTTAATTTTCTTATTTAGGCTTCTCAAGTAGTGTGAGCTTCCCGAATTCACAGGCTCGACTGATGTAAACTGTTGGAGTGTTCCATTTTTGTAGTTTAATTTTCTTATTTAGGCTTCTCAAGTAGTGTGAGCTTTGCGAATTTGAATTTAATCGGGTTTCAATGTGAGTATCGAACATCGGGTGGAAAATCAAAAAAACTATGAACGAAGAGATCACAGGCTCGACTGATGTAAACTGTTGGAGTGTTCCATTTTTGTAGTTTGATTTTCTTATTTAGGCTTCTCAAGTAGTGTGAGCTTCCCGAATTCACAGGCTCGACTGATGTAAACTGTTGGAGTGTTCCATTTTTGTAGTTTAATTTTCTTATTTAGGCTTCTCAAGTAGTGTAAGCTTCGCAAATTCATAGGCTCGACTGATGTAAACTGTTGGAGTGTTCCATTTTTGTAGTTTAATTTTCTTATTTAGGCTTCTCAAGTAGTGTGAGCTTAGAGTAAGATTTATGTAATTTGTAATAACTTGTGAAAGTGGTTGAGTTGACTACAGTTAAAATGTACAAAAAAATGAGAAATGCGGTGAACGTGGATCGAACACGTGACCTTCAGATCTTCAGTCTGACGATCTCCCAACTGAGCTATCCCCGCTATATGTTTAAAACTTGTACAGTAAAGTATATATATATATATATATAATATAAGTGAAAAAAATTGGTGTTACACCTAGTCTGTTTCACGATACCATTGAACATTTCAAAAACAGGTTTCTAAGAGATATAGGGTGTGTTTGGTATGAAGGAAAACATTTTCCGGAAAATGTTTTTTAATTTTCTCATGTTTGGTTGGGTTAAATGTTTTGGAAAATGTTTTCCAAATCAACTTATTTTTCTCAAATTTAAGGAAAATGACTTTCCTTGAAAACTTAAGGAAAACATTTTCCTAAACTTTCTTCCAACTTCAAATTACAATTACTTTTTTGTTGAAAAAATCAATTTATTTTGTCCCTATCCTCAAATCAGCCCCCCAACCAACCCCTCCCCCCCCCCCCCCAAAAAAAAAAAAAAATTTAAATTTATTTTAAAAAAATATTTTCAATTTCAAAATTTCATTTTTTCACCCTACCTTGACCCCCCTCACGCACCTCCTACCCAACCCCCACCCACCCCACCCCTACCCCCCAAAAAAAAAAATTTAAATTTATTTTTAAAAAATATTTTCAACTTCAAAATTTCATTTTTTCACCCTACCCTTGATCCCCCCCCCCCGCCACCCCTTCCTACCCAGCCCCCCACCCTCCACCCCCAAAAAAAAAATTAAGTTTTTTTTTAAAAGTATTTTCAATTTCAAAATTTTATACCCTCGACCCCCCACCCCCTACCAGCCCCCCCCCCCCAAAAAAAATAATTTAAGTTTGTTTTTAAAAAATATTTTCAATTCCAAAACTCTCTTCCAGCTTCAAATTACAATTATATTTTTGTTGAAAAAATCAATTTATTTTGTCCCTACTCTAAAACCCCCCAACCCCCCCCCCCCCCCCCCAAAACAATAAATTTTAAAGCTTCATTTTAAATTCAATTTTTTTACCCCACCCTCACCCCTACCCCACCCCCTCCCAAAAAAATATTATAAATTATTTTTAAAAGATATTTCTAATTTCAATTTTTTATTTTTTTACCCCCACCCACTACCCTCGCCCCCCCCCCCCATCAACCCCCTATCAGCCCCCAACCCCCTTCAAAAAGAAAAAAATTTAAGTTTGTTTTTAAAAAATATTTTCAACTTCAAATTTTTATTTTTTCATCCCGATCCTCGATCACCCACCCCTCTCTCCGGTCACCCCCCCCCCCCCCCCCAAAACAAAAATTGAGTTTGTTTTTAAAAAATATTTACAAATTCAAAATTTCATTTTTTCACCCTACCCTTGACCCCCCCTACCCACCTACCCCCACCATCCCCCCCCCCCCCCCAAAAAAAAAATTTAAGTTTGTTTTTAAAAAATATTTTCAATTTCAAAATTTCATTTTTTCACCCCTAGATCCCCCACCCACCCACCCCCTACCAGCCCCCCACTCCCCTCCCCAAAAAGAAAAAAAAAATTTCAAGTTTGGTTTTAAAAAATATTTTCAATTTCAAAATTTCATTTTTTCACCCCCACCCACCCACCCACCCCCACCCCCACCCCCAAAAAATAATTTTAAGTTTGTTTTTCAAAAATATTTTCAATTTCAAAATTTCATTTTTTTCACCCCTACTCAGTCCCCCCCCCCCCCCCCCCCCCCCGCCCAAAAAAAAATTTAATTTTGTTTTTAAACTGTATTTTCAACTTCAAAATTTTATTTTTTCACTCCAACCCTCGACCCCCCACCCCACCCCCTACCAGCCCCCACCCACCCCCCTACCAGCCCCCTCCCCCCAAAAAAATTTAAGTTTGTTTTTTAAAAATATTTTCAACTTCAAAATTTCAATTTTTCACCCCTATCCTCGACCCCCCTCCCTTCACCCACCCCCTACGACCCCCCCAGCCCCCAAAAAAAATATTTTCATTCATAAATCAAACACTAAAACTCTTTTCCAGAAAATATTTTCTACTTACCAACCAAACATGAGAAAATAAGTCAAAAATCAACTTGTTTTTCAGGAAAACATTTTCCTTCATACCAAACACACCCATAAAGTTGAAAAAGAGTTTCAAGAGAAGAAAACTTCAACGCACCCCAAGGGATAAATTCGTGAGCTTTGTTGGATGATGTATAAGCCGACAATATTTGTTACACCCGATCATCCAGCTGCGCAGGTACACTCTTTCCTTTTATTTCACCTGATGATTCAACTGATTTTTTTTCAAGCAAGAGTATTTAATATGGTGCAAAAAGTATATTAAAGTCAAATTCTCTTATCAATACAATTATATGACAATCTAAACGAGAACATTAAGTTCATCGTTAGGAGGTAGGTATAGATTTATGCTTTTTTAATTAAATATTTGACATCCTAGCTAAAACTAGCATTATTACAACATATATTATTTATGCATTAGGTAGCTCCATCACATTTTGTTTTTCCATTTTGATTTTATAACATTGCATCGAGTTCAATTTAATATCAAATCTCTTGCAAGTCCAACAAAGAGATGAGCACCATCTTGTATAATCCAATTGTAAATGTAGATGAGAAATCATATGATATGAGCACAGAACTTTCTCCTTAACTCAAGATCATATTGTCTAAGCAGATTACTTAATTATAAATAAACATACTCATATAACATGAGCATGTTTTCTTCTTAGAATCATTGAAATTTAAAGTCTTTATTGTGTTGCTGTTACCAAATACCAAGTTATAATTAAGTTGGAAATTGATTTATGCGCACTCTTAACTTTTATGAACACTCAATTTGACTTGAAAGTTTCAATATTAGAATAAAACTAGGGAACGATGGAGCAAAATAGTAGTTTTGCACTCTATAATCTGCCTATTCTCATAGTCAAGAATGTGAAAGACACCAAAAATGAACAAATTTTCAAACCAACAAATAATATCGGTCAATATTTCCTTCGTGATTAAATATCTCATTTATTAATCAATCTTAGATACACCATGTCCACATGCAAGACCAAAATTCTAATTTTATAACATTTTTGTTATTATCACGCACCATACCAAAATACAATTACTTATCACATTAACACAAAGATTGTTTTTTAATATCATTTTTTCCCCTTTTGAACGGATCAACCTTATTCCATCTATACAAATTACGAGCCCATTTCTTGTCCAAATTTATTTTAAAAACAAATTGGCTTTGCCAAAAATAAAATAAAATAAAAAATTGCACCAGCCGGGAATCGAACCCGGGTCTGTACCGTGGCAGGGTACTATTCTACCACTAGACCACTGGTGCTTCATGTATACCTCCTCCATCATATTCCTTAATATCAACAATAACATTGTAATGAATATTATTTATTTTAAAAGTAAAAACAATAATACTATGAGTTTCATATATATGCATTATCAACTTATCTTGTGTAAAATGAAAAAGATAAAGAACAAATTCTATAGTAAAAACAAAACAAAAAAAGAGAACAAACTCTTCTACTACAACTAGTATCAAGGTACAAATAAAGAAATGAATACATGTATATCTCATAACCAAATCCTTTTTCCTACTCCATCATATAAATTTGTACATGAAGCAGCATTGCCAAATGCAAATTCAATCAAAGCTAGGCCCTGGAAGGTAACATAAGTTAAATCAGAGTGATGGACATAAACCAACCAAATGTTAAACTCATCTACCATCCACCAGAGAATTTGTCCAAGAAATTGACATGGAAGAAGACAAACCTTCTCTAATTTCTTCAAATGTTGGATGTGAACCATGGCTTAAACTCAAGGAAAAATTGGACAACATGGTATTAGATCTCAAACTCTCTAGAAGGTAAGCATCCATATCCTCAGTTTCATATTCATCAATATCACTATTCCTGTCAAAGAATTTCACCACTTGTCTCATGCTTGGCCTAGCTTTGGCGTCTAGGCTCGCGCATATCATGCCTAATTGCAACACCCTTAAAGCTTCCTCTTCATTGAAATCTTGATTAGTCCTTAATCGACTATCAAAGGCGTTAATCAATTCGCCTCGTCTCATTAATTCCCACAGCCAATCCACTAAAGGTGGCTTGCCTTCCTCCTCTATAGGCCTCCTTCCACACATCACCTCCATAATTAGCACTCCATATCCAAATACATCGGTTTGTGTGGAGGCACGGCCAGTCTTGGCAAACTCTGGCGCCAAGTATCCCACCGTGCCAACAACTCGAGTCGTGCTAGCCACTTGACTATGATCATGCATTCTAGCTAGACCAAAATCACCTAGCCTTGCATTCATGTCCCTGTCAAGTAAAACATTGCTAGCCTTAATGTCCCTATGCAACACTTTTGATTCCCATCCCTCATGCAAGTATAGAACCCCTGATGCCACGTCTTTCAAAATCCTAATTCTGTCTTCAAAACTCAGCATGTTTCTCTCATTAGATTCAAACAGCCTTTTATCCAAGCTCCCATTTTCCATATAATCATAAACCACAATCATGCTGCCTCTATCTTTCTTGCACCACCCTCTTAATGACACCAAATTTCTTTGCTTTAGCCTACCAAGACTCGAAATCTCAGCCAAGAATTGCCTTGCCCCTTCACTGTTTTGGTGAGAAATTCGCTTTACTGCAACCTCTGAACCCCCAGCCAAAACCCCTTTATAAACCTTCCCATTACCTCCAATTCCAATCACATTTTCATCAGCAAAACCCTTTGTTGCAGCATCAATTTCTTGATAAGTAATCCTATGTGGCCAATATTCCAATTCCCAATCTTCCATATCCTCTCTTTCCTTTTTCATTCTCCTATTTCTCTTAATCAAAAACCATGAAGCTACAGCAATGACCACAACAAGAAACAAGACTAACACTGTCATACCTGCAATGAATCCCTTCGATCGATAAACTGGATCTTCAGGAAGCTCAAATGAAGGCAGCCCTTGTGTGATCAAACCATCACCTATCGAAAAATTCGAGTTACTAAAACTCCAAGATAAAATCTTGTGACTTTGAGCAAGTTCTCCAGTGGCTGCTGTAAACCCCACATACATCTCTTCCTCAAAAACCTGGGAAAGATTTAGGTGAAAATCCAACAAAGGCTGCTTAGGCCTTTTCATACCAACTGGTGCCATAGTTACACTAATGTTGAAATCAGCATAATCAATCCAAACTTGATAATTTCTTCCATTATTCAACTTTAAAGTCTCTAAAGACTCCTCATTTAGGCTACCATCACTATTATACTTATTTTTCTCATCAGGCCAATATCCTGCTTCATGAGCAAACTCTGATGCAAGAGAATTAACATCAATTCCAACATGGTTTTCATTTATATCATTGAATTCTTGATTCTTGAAAACATCAAACTCAACCCCAAAAACATGATTATCAGGATTCCCATTATTTGTAAAATTCAAGAAACCTAAATTCTGTGCAGAAGTAGTACCATCAATACCTGTGTGTGGCACAAACAAGAAAACTATACCATGTCCTGGTAGCCTGTCTCTGTAAGGAGCCATTGCAAAAATGAAAGATGTTGAAAAGGGAAGAACTTTAGATGAATTGGCTTCTTTTGTGACAATCTTTGAAGGGTACAGAGCTCTGCCAATTGAAAAAGTTGAGTCATTTGAAAGAGTAAGAATTCTAGATTCAATTGTAACATTCCCAAAAGTTAACACATCTGATTGTTTAAAGCCATTGAAGACAAAATCAGTTTCTGCAACTGATTGATTACAAGAAAATAGGGTTAATAACAGGTAAGAAAGAAGAAATTTTGGATAATATTGGTTCATTCTAAGAAAGAAGCAGAGCTAATTCACATGGATAAAGAATTATGGGAAGCAGAGAAAATGGGGAAATATCATTCTATTTCAGTAGTCACCAAGTATATTTGACAAAACATACTTGGTCAAAAAAAGAAATTCCCAATTTGGAAAATACTAGCAGAAGGGTAATTAAGTTATTAATGACTCGAAATCGCAATCTTGAAAACAAAGAATACTTAGCAATCTCCTTAATCTGACCAAACAAAAAAAACTTAGGCTGCAAATGTGAAGATGAAGAGAAACCTGGCGGCCGCTGCCAGCTTGAAGAAAAGTCCTGAGGCATAAAGTTTGACTCTTTATGTTTTTTTGGGGGAAGGTAAATAAAGGTATAATAAATCAAAGATATTATGTCTTTTTTCATATTAATTTGATTTTTAAAAGTATTAGTCAAAAGTTATAATAATTTTGATTTTAAAAAAAAGGAAATTGAATCAAACGTGTATATATTATTTCTGAAATTGGAATTGGAGAAATAAAGGTGCAGATGATATATTTTAGGAAAAAACTATAGAATTACGTATATTTCATTACCATATTTATTATTATCTATATTTTTCAAATATTACGTATCTTACAATTAATTAAGAGTTTCATACCATATATATGAAAAATATACATTTAGATACATGTATTTTTGCTACCAGATACACTAAAAAAAAGGGAGAGAGGCGGACGAGGTTGAAGAGGGAGGCGAGTGAGATTTGTATGTATTCCAGATATATACGAATACATAAATCTGCATATGATGTGATTAGTGGCCAGCCAGATGAGAGCGAGATTTGTTATGTATCTCAGTTACATGAGAATTCACTTAGATACAATATATCTATACCAAATTTGACCCATTGTATCCTCAGATACATGAATCTGAACGCATCTGAACGTATTTAAACGCATAAAAATATAGTAAAATATGTAATTTACAAACTAGAATATATCTAAATAATTACTCAATTTCTAAATTAGTGGAATCTACGTAAGTTCCTCATTTTATCCTATAAATTTGTGACATTTAAAATTCAACGCTTAGACTTATTTAATTATCTTTGTCGGCATCATAATTGTAAATTTAGGATTATAAAATCTAATGGAAAAATTGCTAACAATTGTTGTTGAGGCTAAATAATTTTAGGGCTAAACATTAAAGTCAACTGTCTATGAATTATTCCAACTGTCGTACACATCTTTAGAATTTATCAATTCCAATATTTCACAATTCTCAGGTACGTAGATTGTTTTTTTTTTTATTCGATATTATTATTCGTATTAAAATTTGATTAATTTGTGTTTACATCACGCAAGGCTTATTTGAGACAGATCTTCTAATTAAAATATTTTTCATATTCAAGACTTAAAATCGAATTCTTTGATTAAAAGAAAAACAACGTCATCGTTACACCACCTCGATTGATGACAATTTGGGTATGTAGATAGTTAATGACATGTTGAATTTCGTTTAGCCAAAGACATTGTCAAACAAGAAATGAATGAAGAAGAAGAAAAAATGCATGGGACAGTGATTAATGTAATATATTTAGGGCAAATATTTGGCATTTTGCTTATCCGTACGTAATAGTACATCCAAATGTTGTATACTACTCGATATAATAAATGTAAATGGCTAATAGGATAAGCTTTGGGAAATAATCGATATTTTACAATATTATAAGCTTTTCAGTCAAACTAATATTAAGAAAATGAAACAGGAAAAAGGAAGTGATGCTTTTGAAATGTCACCCTGATGAATGCCATTGAAATTTATAGCCTTTGGCATTTGATAGTCAAAGGTCGAGGTAGTAGTACGCATGCGAGTTTGATTAAATTTGTGAGTAAATTTGTTCAAATAAAATATTTATATTAATAAATTATTTATATATAAAAAAAATAAGAAATTTAGACTCAATTATTATAATTTAAAGTTATTATTGTAGTCATTAAATTAAAATTTTAACAAATTTCAGATCATTGAAGAGGAATCAAAAATTTCTATCAAGTATGTTCCTCGAGAGAAGAAAGAGAGAACCTTCCTCTACTGGAGAAAATGGAAGCGGCTTTTTTCCAAAATTTCAGAAAAAATCAAATGAAATTTTTTTCGTAAGACAAAAAAGTGATTCTTTTTTTTGCTAAAAAGAGAAGGTACGTATCCGAGTGAATTTCTGCCTGCCTTTGAAGGCTAGCTCCGAAGATAACATACCTATGCAAGTATGAAAAGTAAATGGAACATACATCTATCCTTTATCTTTTAGATGCTCATAATTTGACTTTTGTTGCTCTTTCAACGTCCATTAAATGTGGTATTTTTATACTATAATTTTCCAATAGTTGACATTTGAAATCTTTCATTTAAAGACCCCCTCTAAATTGGCAAATAAAGATATTTTTGCGACTTGCGTAGAAAGAAATTTGCAAAATTAAATTATTAAGTTGGATTTTATGTACCATAAGAAATTTGTTTTTTCTATTAATTTGCGGAGAATATAAAAATATTTAAAAATAAGTTATTGATATATAATTTTACTTTTAATTACAGCATAAGTTATTCATGTTTGTAATTTTATATAACTATCAAATTATCTTTTATTAGTTCAAACAATTAGGGAAAGAGAATTTCGCGTTGGCTGATGTGTGTACATATAACATCATGGAACAAAGAAACACTTATAGAATTGAATTGACTCAAAATCTATTTCTTTTATCATATTATCAAAGATATCCTCATTTCAATTGAATAATTTCAATATTAGTTTTTTCATTTTATATTATCCACACTTCAAACAGTCAATTCTATATATATATATATATATATACAAAGGTGTTGAAGAATCACATTATAGACTTATAAAAAAAATTTATTTATCAAATTTACAAACAAGATACACAAATTATCATGTAATGGGTTAGTGGCTAATATAGTGCTGATAGAGGTGACAATGACAACAACGACAATGGTGATGATCGTAGCCACGGATATAATTTAATACAATAACGAAGATAGTTTATCGACTGACAATAGTGGTTGACAATAGTGATGGTTATGATGACAACTGTGATTGATAGTAATGATCTACGGGGGATTGACAACAATAATGATAATGCTGATAAAAGAAGTGGTTAGTGATTGTAGTTGACAATTGTAGATAAATTATTGATGAAAGTTATCTATATAAAATACGGGCTTTTACTAATTTCATTCAAAATCTTGATAATTAAAATCTACTTAGATCAAATTAAGTGCTCAAACCTATGAGGTTATGAACAAATAATTTAAGAATTTAAAATCTAACCCATTCAGATATAGACTTTTGTTTAGTAAGTAGAAACAAATAAGACCTAAGTGATAATTATCATAAGTTCTCTAGGTAAGATGCTACCATATTGTAGGAAATATTAGGCTACCACCATTTATAAGGCCAAGGAATAATGGTGTGTTAACATTAATACAACTATTTAGTACGCCTAGTAGAACTTACCAATATATAAATCTTTGTCATTTGATACGGGACTGACTTTTTTTTTTTTTTTTGGCTCATAATTTCTAGAATATTTTTTTTTACTGGGAAAATGAGATAAAATAAGGTGAAATAGTCCATAGTTAAATGTGATTGTATTTAATTAACCATATAAATAAATATAAAATAAGGTAAATTGCAAAAAAATAAAAATAATTTTAAAGACAAATTTAATTGTTTATTTATGATATACTATTTATTTGATAACATAAATCACCACATTCACAAAACATCGTGGAATCGAAAAATGCTTTCGAAGTTGAGTCACACTTAAAATTCATTTCTTTATCATGTTATCAAAGACATGCTCACATGCATATGCTCATTGTTTGTAACAAATTTAAAATATATGAAAAATAAATCACCATAAATATAATTTTGTTTCTAGGCTATAGTGGCATATTTCTATATTGATCTCTTTGAGATTTATTTGATCTCCATTGATCTTTATGAACATTTAATGAATCTCAAATATTCGAGAGGTTTCTTTAAATGAATATAATATTCTTTATACATGCATAAGCTAGAGTAATCTCCAGAAATTCTAACTGAAGTTGAAGTAAACCACAGTGGGATGAAAATAGATAAGTATAATTTTAGAGTGTGTTAATTCTTATTAACAAACTAAAATGTCCCCTAATTAAGTTGGTGTAGCCCACATAGACCACGATACCTTCAATAATCTTTTTTGATTGTAAGAAACATATTATTTTTTTTGGTAATAACGGTAAAAGATTATCATTACCATCAAACCCAGTAAAAATAAAGAGCACATATACCTGGTAACAGGGATTAGGTCTCCTACAAAGCAAAAAACTTAATTACAAAGTAAAAGTTAAACAAAATTCCTACAATTTTGTGTTTTCTTTGAATTACTAAGTAATATGTAAGAAACATATTATTATTTTGTTTTATTCCTTAAAATAAATTAATTCCTCATTGCATCGTTGCTAATTTTCGTTTAATTCATTTCTTGAATATAGGAAATTTCGCAGGTATATCCTACATTAAATTGGAAAAATAATCTCCTAAATTGTTGATTAGACTCCTGATCCTGAACTGTGTGATCTCAGATTTGATTGTCCCACAAAACCCTAGAAGTTAGTGCTAGTTTTTTTTCCCACCCCCCACAAATCTCAAATTTAGCGACATTTATTTCTCCATCTTTTGTTATATTTTTCAATTTTTGTGCCAGTTTTGATTGGTTATGTTAATACTGTGTTCTCTTGGAAGTATTGCTGGGTTTCTGTGCTTGTTGTTTAGCTTCGAGATAAGTATTATGTGTGAGAAAAGAAGAAGCTAACTAGTTGCTGTGAAAAAAAAACTCAAAAACTCTCTTGTTGCATTCTCACATTGTAGGACACTGCTGCAGTGATTTTGGCGAAGTGGGGTGTCATTATTCGATCGAAATATAGTAAATTGAGGATTGGTTTTGATTATTGAGATCATTTGGTGAATTGGGTCTCGTTTTTCTTGGTGATTTTAGTGTATTTTTTCCATTATTTTGTGCCAAAAAAAGATAAATTTAGTCTAAAGATCCAGACTTTATAAGAAGATTTAACAGTTGGATGTGGATCAGAGATGAGAGGTGAAGTTAAAGGGTTGAGAGGACAACAATGACTATAGCGTCATTGGGTCTTCGTTTTTCATATCTGGGGGAGAGAGAAAAAGAACTAGCATAGGGTATGAAATCCTTGTTGATCCTTCTCTCCTCTTGCTCGACGAACCAACTTCAGGCCTTGATTCGTCCTCCGCAAGGAAGGGTTCTTCAGGGAGTTATGGATCATTGCAACAACAGCAATTCCAGAACGGTGGCTCTCCTTTCCAGACGTCACCCCCTGTTCCACCACGAAAGCCCCCAAAAATGTTCAAGGAGAAAGAAGGATTGTTTCTTTGGATCTGCAAATTTGCACCTAGAAAGAAGATTGGGATGATGTTATTATGTGTTGTGTCGGCCGCAGTGTTTTTGTGGGTCTTGTATGTTGGCAAAGGTTTGATCTCTAATCTTGGCCCATTGCCTAGCATATATCTGAATTAGTCCTATTGTTGGATGTTGTCTCTCCAATCAGCATATTGGAGCACTATCACTTTACATAGCTGGTACAGAATTCTGTCTTGATTTTAATGCTGACTGGAATCTGAGCTTCAGGTGTTCATGCACACTTGGAGATATTAATGTGGCACATTTTGGTTATAAGTAATAATATGGCATTGCCAATCCCATTTACTGTCTATTTTACTCGTAATGCCATAATTTCTGTGGGATTTTTAAAAAATGATTACTGTCTCTATACAGTTGATGTTATAGTGTTTATTATATCAACAACCGGAAAGCTTTGCATGTGATGACATTTTGATTGTATGCTTTTTCTTAGGTCTTTACTTGATTAGGAGATTTCCTGATTATGTTTAGTTTACACTGGATTCTCTTCCATTGTCCAATCTTGTTCTTCTGCCTCATGGCTAAGGAAATGGTCTTTGATCTGGCAGTTCCATATCCATATCTAGGAACTAGCACATAGAGATGCCCTCCATTAGTCTTTACTTTTGCCTCTCATGAGCTGAGCAATTTCAACTTGGTATCAGGTGAAGATACACAGGAACTTATCATGTCCATGAATAGTGGGGTGTTTCCTCCAGATACTGGACAGATTAGGCATATCGATTCGATAGAGAAAAATGATGTTGGAAAAATTGCATCAATTGAATCTCCTCCACCTCCACCTCCACCTCTTGCATATTTTAAAGGATATACTCTTCCTCCTGGGAATTCATGTGAAGGCTTCACATTGCCACCGCCCCCAGCAGATAAGAAGAGAACTGGACCAAGACGTAAGTTTGTTCATGACATGGTACTCTTAAATGTGTTTTCGTTTGATGTATTGTTTGGGGTGGAGAAATAAAAGATTTTTAAAAGTTCATAAGCCAATTATTTTCATGCTTTCGGTACTTTCAGCATGTCCAGTATGCTATCTTCCTGTCGAACAAGCTATTGCATTAATGCCAGATGCACCTTCCTTTTCTCCCGGAGTTAGCAGTTTAACTTACATCCATGAGGAAAATTTGAGTAAATCTGAGTTTGGAGGTTCAGAATTTGGTGGATATCCTTCACTGATGCAGAGGAATGATTCATATGATGTAAGAGAGTCCATGAGTGTGCACTGCGGGTATGCCTTTTTCTTTTTCCACGTTGGCAATTTATTTAGAAAATAGAGTCCAGGAGTGTGCACTGGATCATCTCTAAATATTTTTCCTTTTGTTTGTACTTTGGCAATTCTAATAACACAAGAAGCAGCTATGATCTTTTATCTGTTCGAAAATATTATAAATCTTTCAGTCACAGGTTTTTTATTTTTTTAATAATGGTTGCAATTTGTAACTTCGCATTTTAGATATTAATGATGATCGTTTACATTGTGGCATAGTTTGCCACATTCCTGAGTTTGTTTTGCTCTATTCTTCTGCACATCCTTGTGACAGATTTTTCAGGGGAGCCAGGCCAGGGCATCAGACAGGTTTTGACATTGATGATTCTAACCTTCTTGTGATGGAATCTTGTCGAGGTGTTGTTGTGGCATCATCAATATTTGGTATTGATCTTTCTATTCTTGTAAAGTCACATTGAGTCGCTGAGCCTGCTGACTGTTGTTGTAACAATAACAATTCCATTTGTGACCAGGTGCTTTTGATTTGATTCGGCAACCACAAAATATAAGTGAATATGCTAAAGGGAATGTCTGCTTCTACATGTTTGTGGATGAAGAAACAGAAAACTTCCTGAGAAATTCAAGTGAACTGGATAGTAGCATGAGAATTGGTTTATGGAGAATCGCTGTTGTTCATAATCTGCCTTATGATGATCCACGACGAAATGGAAAGGTAACCACCGCCCAGTTGTACATTGCCAATATTGAATAATATTGAATTTTGCAGACATAATCAGTAGAAACAATGGCTATTTATGAGGGTTCTTACTACTTTTCATGCTTATGTATATGAGAGAGCATTGATGCTTTCGAAAGGATTTTTGTGAAGTTGATGCAAGAGTAAAACATGAATAACTTAAAGGGATATTTGGTGGTTTCTGCATTTTTTTTTCTCACTAATTCTACTTTTTAAATATAATAATTCCCAGATCTATGTAGTTGTTTATGAATCCTTATTCCCCAGAAGTTGCTTTTCAAGCAATATAAGGTAGCCGTTATGTTTCATTTCCATTAAATGTTTTGAAGAAAATGAATGCAACGAGAGAGAGATTTTATGGGAATGTGTTTAAATTGATCAAAATCTCAATGAATGGCAGGCTCTGGATAACTGCAGCTAAGGTTTAGCAACCAGAACTGCATATTCATAATTGACAAGAAGCCTATTGATTTTTTCACGAATTATGAAAAAATTTACATGGCAAGTGAACTTGTTTTCTATTTATAGTTTGGATCCTTGCTCAAACTTGAATCTGATTGGGACTTGAATATTTTACTTGTACAGTCAAACCCAACTAGCTTGGAATTGAGGTGTAGTAGTAGTTGTTGTTGTGTAACTTGAAGTCTACAAATGAAACATACTATTATCTCTATTCTAAGAGCGAATTCTTGAAAGGAGCTGCTGGATTTTTTTAAAATTACGATAGTGTCAGGGCCAACTTGCACGCACCTCGAATATTCCACCGGGTATTGCTACCTCCCACCAGTACAGTGAATTCTCTCTCTCTTTTAAAAAATCAGAAGGCTGAGAGCTACCATAAGTGCATTACTTTTGGTTGTTTTCTTAATAAGCTAGTTTGAAAAATGCTCCAAGATTTGGTGGAAATTTTCTTGTTTGATGCACAACCATCTTACATTCTCTTCCTTTGGAGTTAGTTACATCTTTGAGACGCGAGTAGTCTTTTGGCTTTAGCTGTCACTTTACATGAATAGTTTTTATCCACACAAAGAGACTAGACAATAATTTCTGGATGGTTTCCTTTAGCAATTTGACTTCATGGAATGGTCTCCTATCATTATTTGAACTAGCAGCAAGTTTTGCCCCGTATACAGCCAGATTTGTGGCCATGTTAATGAATGAAATACAATTGCCTGATTTAAAAAAATAGCAAGTTTTGCCCAGTCTTTGTATTTTCTATTATTTGCTTCCTGGAATTTTCGAACTCAAAGAATAGGGAAAGAGACGCCTTTCAGTTAATTAATCAACTATGCCCTAATTCCAAAATTAGCTGAATTGGCTATATAAATTCCTTATATCCACTCCCCCCCTAAAGAGAAGTCTGTATTATTAGCTTTTTTACCTCTGGTGGTGCCATTAGAAACATTAATACTTCTTATGGAAGTCTAGCAGGAACCGGATATTTTCCCAAAAAACAGAGTTGCTGTTGAGATTTACTTACGTTTCATGATTCCCATAAGTTCGTTATAATAAATCTTTTTTTGATGGGAAACTTCTCTTCCCTATTGCATATGTTTAGTGACTTCATGTAGGAAGGTTTGTGCTTTTCTAATTGGATTAGGATTTAGGGTGACACACATATGCTTTTTTCTTTTATATTTTGCTTTCCTTCTTGTTATATTTCTATTTCTGTTAGCCTTCTGATCCACTTGGTATTTGTGTGTATGCTTCTGACACTATTAAGTATCAACTGAGTGGTTTGAGAAAGCTGCTTACCAGTTGATAGCCGAATTGTTGCATGGTTAGGCGAGTGCTTCTCCTTTATTAAGGAGTATTGTAGATAGATTTTGTGTAAGTGACAATTTGTTACCGTTGCAGGTCCCAAAGCTTTTGCTGCACAGGCTTTTCCCGAATGCCCGTTATTCTCTATGGGTTGATGCAAAACTTGAGCTTGTTGTGGATCCATATCAAATACTTGAAAGGTATATCTAAAGCTCAACCCACATTTTCATATGTACATAAGAAATTCTCAAGCTTAGCTACCATATGGTCTCCTATGGGTTTAATTTCATGTCCTGACGAAAGACACCAGGTTTGCCCTTGAGAACTATAGAATTAGGGGCTGGGTGGCTCTCATACATAGTATCTTGCACATCTTTAATCAACCCGGAAATATAGGAGACAATAGTTGTTTGCTAAGTGTACATCATGGGAGATTGCCCTAAATTCAATCACCTCTTCGAATTGACTTACTGTGGCATGCCACTTATGCTTAGTATAAGATATGCTCATGATTTTGGCGTGATAGTCCAAAATATTTTGCAACTTTTCAACAAGGCTTTTTATATGTTTGACACCTTACAGAGATAGAGAAGTCATACTGCTCAATGCTACCTGACTTAAGTGTAAAAATAAACATGTGAGAGCCCCGATTAGGCTTTGTTATCAGAAAAAAGTATCTTGCTTTGAAGGTCAATGTACTTCTGATAAATGGTTATTGAACTCTGCAATTATCGAATCCTAGCTTTCTGATTCAGATCTCCCTCTGTGTTCAACACAACTTGCTTAGTTGAATTATCTCATTTCTATGTCAGATTCTTATGGAGAAAAAATGCAAGCTTTGCAATATCAAGACACTACAGGCGCTTTGATGTGTTTGTAGAAGCAGAGGCAAATAAGGCTGCTTCTAAGTTTGACAATGCTTCCATCGATTTCCAGGTTGACTTCTATAGAAAGGAAGGTCTAACTCCATATACCAGAGCTAAACTTCCTATCTCAAGTGGTTAGTGTGTGATACTTGTGTATATTGTCTTTCTTTACTTCTTATGAATAATTCCTCTCCCGCTGATCCCTTCTTAAAATTAGCCATTTTTTGTTTGATAGGCCACTTGAGCATACTTATTATGTTTGCAGATGTTCCTGAGGGGTGTGTAATTATAAAAGAGCATATTCCGATCTCCAATCTCTTTACTTGTCTTTGGTTTAATGAAGTGGACCGCTTTACTCCAAGAGATCAAATTAGCTTTGCCATTGTGAGAGACAAGATCAGGGAAAAGACAAATTGGACTTTGAATATGTTCTTAGACTGTGAACGGCGAAACTTTGTGATTCAGGTGAGCTTTATGTATTTACCTTTTGGATTGAGTTGATTTGTAGTCTCGTTAATAGAATCTGAAAACAAAAGACCAGAATTCATCAAAACAGTTGTAATAGGTTAACGTGGGTGCCTGGTTAGTATTACTGCTAAATATCTATGGATTGTGCAGTTGCTATTGCTTGTCCACATATCTGTTAAAGTTTTTCTGTTGTAAAGCTGGCCTTTAGTTCTTCAAATGCCCTGCTTCGCTCTTTCTTTCTGGAATGATGACTTACTTCATGTGTGCTTTATTAGGAAACCCTGGCAATGCTTATTTCAGAAATTCCGTTATATGATAGATTGACTAACTGATCAAAATATGATAGTAGATTAAATTCCTGCCATATTTTCTACTATCTGTAGGGTTATCATAGAGACGTTCTTGAGCGCTGGCCTCCCCCACCTCCACCTGGTGCTATTGCGGTTGTTCATCCTCCACCACCTGTAATTGATGAAACTATGCCCAATGTTTCAGCATCAAGTTTTGTTACTAGTCCAGTCAAAAAGATACCCACGAAGCGTGGGAGAGAAAGGAAATCCAGACGTCATAGAAAAGTTATTCCGGGTTAGTTAACTTGTTATAATATTTATTTAGGCAAATTCTTATTCTTTCCTTCCCTGAAGTCAAGGATATTGATTATGGGGGGGGGGGGGGGGGGGGGGGGTTAGGGAAGGAACTGTGCAAGATGAGTTTTGTAGCTTTTGTTTACAAGAAAAGACGGTATTAAAATTTTCCGTCGATTCTTTTAGGAGGTGACCAATTTATTATTTTTTGTTGTATATAGTTGAGAGTCTAAAAATGTTATCAAATTACAGCCCATCATATATACTGAACATAAATTGCAAGCTTCCATCCTTAGAACTGAGAAAAAAGAAATTCACTTTTATGGTGACTTGAGTCTTAATTTTGTTACTGATAAGTAGTGCATTGCAAGTAATACATTTGTTGTGCCTAAAAGCTAGTGATTTATGTTCTCATGGGACTTTCATGGTTAAATCATTTGATTTGGCGAAAATATCAAGTGTTTTCAATATCATATAAAAGGTGATGACGGTAAGGAGCACAACAGGGGATATTTTTGCAATATCTTTTTATTTAGGCTTAAGTCATCGACAACCATTCAAAATTGTCCGCATAATTCATTTAAACACCTTATCTATAAGTTATACCTATTGAACACGTAACTTATTTAAAATAAGTATCTATTGAACACTTTTTACGAACATGGCATGGAAAGTGTATTACACTCCTATTCAGGCGTGCGAACTTACATTATTAGCTATATATATATATATATATATATTATTTATTTTTTAATCTCTTTCTTCTTTGACCATGGCTTCTTCCAACACCATCACCATTTCCACCGCACCCGCCACTGTCATTACCACCGCACCCGCCATTGTCATTACCACCATTCATCCATCTCTTTCTCTCTTATCTTCAGCCACTTCACCTTCTTCCTCACCATTGTCTTTTTCAAAAATCAATTTTTCTTCTTGAATTGAATTTCCTTCGGCATCCAAAACAAAAACAAGACAAAAAGGAAGAAAATGGAGATACGTTCAGCTGCAAATCAAACAATTTTATATCTCTTTTTAAAAATGAATAATTTCTTCTAAAAAATCTTAATTCCACCATTAATTATGAAAGAGAAAAGGAATAGAAATGAAGAAATTGAAGAATGGTTTGATTTCAAACAAACAGTTTCAGAATCCCTTATTTAAAACTAAAAAATCTCTTCACAAACAGTTCAATTCCATCATTAATGGTTGAATTTTCTTCAACTTTCTTTCGAATCTGAGACGAAAAAATGATAAAAAATGAAGAAATTAAATAAGAACATGTAATTTCCTATTTCATTTTTTTCTTTAAAAACGTAACTGCATTTATTTTTAGTTGAATTAAGAAAAACGATGAATTAAGCAATCGATAATGGCAACAATGGGTGGATGATAGCAGTTTGAATAGAGGAGGTTGCAGCTTGCAGGGTGGGCAGACATGCCCTTTGTTTTCTTTCTTTTCTTTATAAATTTTTAATTATTATTTTAAATAAAAAATGCCATATGTACATCATTAATTCATCAATTTGTCACGTTATCGTGAGTGTGTTACACATATTTTTTACTTTTAGCTGATTGTTAATAAAGTGTTCAAATGGTTCAGATTTAGGTTGATAGAGGTTTTTAATAGATATAAGGTTAAGTTGAGGTGTTCAAGTGAATTATGCGGAAAACTTTAAGTAGCTGTGGATGACTTAAAATTTGTTCTATATTAAAAGTAAATTATATATATGTAACATAAATGTATTATAAGGTATAAAATATGTTTGATACTTTATAAGTGTATTAAAGTGTGTGATAAATGTATTATTCATGAATAAAATTTGTATCATATATATTGTTATTTGTAACATGTATTAAACTGTATTATAAGTGTCCAGTGAAAAAAAGTTGTTATTGCGATCAATGATAAATATTAAGGGCCTGTTTGGCCATGCGATATGGTATTATGATACAGAATCATAATATAGTATCATGGTATGGAATAATGAGATGAATTAATTGAAGTTTTGTTTGGACATGCGATATGTAATTTTTGTGTTGTATATTTTCTCATAAACATAAAAATCTCATAAGTTGTAAAACTATTAAAATTGCCCCAATTGTTTATTCAATCTTATCAAATAAACAAAAAATTATAAAATCGCATAATAAATTATTACAAAGCTATTTGTTCTCCACTTAAGTAATTGTTTCATCTAACTTTAATTTAATGAAAAAACAAATGAACATAAATTATAGTGTACTAGTCTTTAATATAATCCTTCCACATAATACGGACAATTTTCTCATGTTGAACTTGCATTTCTCGATCATGTGACCAAAAAAATGAACCAACATTGTTACTTTGAGCCATTTGTTGGTCAATATCATCCGCAACTATATTTTCATGCTCATAGACCATAAATATTTCATCACTTTAACAATCGGTTGGTGTGAGTTAAAGTGACTATATGTTGGTGAGAATAATAAATTTTAAAAAGTAATGATGTGATTATAAATTTTATTTACATATGAAATAAATGGTTAGTAGATATAAATGTGGGGTTGTTTTAATAAATATAAACTTGTGGATCAATTTTTGTATTAAAAATATCTCAAATCATGATATGGCATTACCATATAATTTCATATCATGGTTTTTGGAGAATATGGAATCACATCTCATGATATGAAATCATGAGATGGAATCAGAGTAAAATCGCATGTCCAAACGCTGATTCCATCTCACGATAACATATCGTGATATGGTATCGCATGGCCAAACGCCTACTTAGGGCCCGTTTGGCCATGCGATATGGTATCATGATATGAAATTATGATATGGTATCATGATATGGAATAATGAGATGAAATTGAAGGTTTGTTTGGATATGCGATATGAAATTTTTGTGTTGTATATTTTCTCATAAACATAAAAATCTCATAGGTTGTAAAACTATTAAAATAGCCCCAATTGTTTATTCAATTTTATCAAATAAACAAAAAATTATACAATCGCATAATAAATTATTACAAAGTTATTTGTTCTCCACTTAAGTAATTGTTTTATCTAACTTTAATTTAATAATAAAAAATAAACATAAATTGTACTTTATATGCTCATATCTCTCAACTACTCTTACAAATAACCTATAAAGTAGAAAAAAAACATACATTAGTGAGTAAATATTAACTTAGAAGTTAAATACACTAAGATAAAAATTAACAAACATCACTAACTTCTAACTATTTACAAGAAAAATCAATAGTTAAATATTATAGAATAACGAAATTTTAAAAAGTTACCACAAGTTTGAGTCAAAAACACTTCTAAAAAAAATTAATCAAAAAAATTATAACTAGTCCGCTTGACTAAATATTAATAACTAATTGATCAAATTTTTCCCAAGTCCTCAATCCATTGGACTTGGTATTCTTCAGTCATGTGAACGAACATTTTGCGAATACTAAGATTAAGAAAGTGCGGCACCGCCAATGAAAATTGTCTTTTATCAATATTATGCTTAGTCATAAGATTAAGACTTTTTTTTTATTATGAAAAATCAAAAAAGTATTACTCCCTTCGTTCTTATTTATATTCACCAAATGAATTTCTACTTTATCATTTATATTCACCAAATTTAAAGTAATAATAAAATTTTATATTGGTGAGAATAATAAATTTTAAAAAGTACATGATGTGATTATAAATTTTGTTTACATATGAAACAAATGGTTAGTAGATATAAATGTGGGGTTGTTTTAACAAAATATAAACTCATGGATCAATTATTATATTAAAATATCTCAAATCATGATATGGAATCACCATATAATTCCATATCATGGTTTTTGGAGAATATGGTATCACCTCTTATGATATGGAATCATGAGATGGAATCAGCGTAAAATCGCATGTCCAAACGTTGATTCCATCTCACAACACCATATCGTGATATGGTATCGCATAGCCAAACACCTACTTAGTATTTAGTATTTGAATACACTATTATTTAAAAGTGAGCTAGAAAACAAACTATAAATTATTTTTTAAATTTGAAACATAACGTGAAATTGATTTTAAATTCTCATCGGACAAAAATAAATTTTCAAATAAAATCAATTATTTCCTCAGTCTCAATTTATGTGGCACTTTACATTTTTCGAGAGTCAAACAATTTAAGTTTGATCGAAAATTTGCACTTGAAATCTTCAATTGTTTTGAATTTTTTATATATATTTATAAACTATGTAAAAAATATTATAAGACAACAATTATTAACCCAAAAGATATAAAAAGATCTATGAGAAATTTTCAATCAAAAGAACTCCATAATAGAACTGTTTTGTTGAAGCTTAAAGTGAAGGTTGGATGGGAGGGATCCACAGTAAGTATTATTTAATCTCAAATAAGCACATAGACAGATAAAGCAAGCAAAGGATAAATTTATCTCAGAATTCCAGAAAAATCAAAAGAGCTACAGCAAGTTGAAAATCAAAAGTTGTAAAATAAAGTTAAATAACAAACGAACCCTCAAGGTTACATAGTTAATTCAGGAAAGCACACACATCGATCGAGACGTGCGTGCTTATTCTCTCTTATATATTAGTTGTATATATAATTGTTGAATATATTTAGTTACTTTCTTATAGCAGATTACAAATATAAATACAATTCTTCGCTCACAATATTGTTGAAAAGTTTAAGTTTTGAATTTGTATTTCAAGTTTCAACGTCTAATATGATAACAATGAAATGATGAAAGTGAAAATTTTGACATATAATATAATAACAATGAAAAGATTAGAGGTTTAGGTTTTGGATTTATTTTTTGAGTCTCGACGTCTAATATGATAACAATGAAATGATGAAAGGTTTAAGTTTTGGATTTACATTTCAAGTTTCAACGTCTAAACAATGTTTTTTTTATGAGATAAACGATATTACTTTTTGAATTAAGACATCTCAATATTAGGTCTAACCAATGTTTTAAAAACGGGGGTGTGAGGCGACTCGTTTTATACAGTACGGAACGAGGCGTAAGTCCCGAGACACGGGGCGTAAGTCCCATGATCTACGGTGCGTAGTATCATGTATATTCAATTTTATAGCTTTATTACTAATAAAATAAGCAAAAGTAAACCTTTCAATGATTTTACAAATAAATTTTTATAAATAACCTATATTATAATATGATTTTTATTTGAGACAAGTATTAATAATCAATAATGAATAAAAAAAGTATTATAATTATTATTTGAGA